TTTTGATCTTTTTCTGATTGACCCCTTTCCAAAGAAGTATTGAAATATTTGCCTTCAATCTCACTAATTCTGTCTTCCATTGATACAATTCTCTCTTTTGCCTGTTCAATGTGTTATCTATAATCTTCTGGATTTCTGTCTGAAGCTTTTGTATCATTCCTAATTTTTCATTTATTTTGTCATTTTGTTCTTGTGTTGTCTTTCGAAATTGTTGTAGGGTTTTCTCCAGTTTTGTTACTGTTTTCCTTGATCTGTCTGTCTGTCTATCAATCCTTTGAAGGTACCTAAATATGATTCTTTTGAATTCCTTATCAGAGAGTCCCAATGCTGTGTCTTTCTCAGGGATATGTTTTGGATCTGTATCCTGGTCCCTTGTTTCTTCTGCTTTATTTTGCTTCTTTGTGTGGACTATGATACTCTGTTGTCTCTGAGGCATTGTGACGTTTTGTGTGTATATTTAACTGGTGATTGTATGTTGGAGTGGCTTGCCCATTGTTTTTGTTTTCTTTGTATGTTTTATCTTTTAAGGTTATTTAAATAATTTAAATATCGACATAAGTAGGGTACTGTGCTGTGCTCCTCTATTCGCTAGTTGGCAGGACTTACACTCACCACATGTCTCCTTTCCCATTGTCAGCTTCCTGTATGTTCCTGCCATCCTTGGCAAAGGGAGCCTATTCTTAGGTCCCTGGAATCCGAATGAGAATGCTGTCACTTTAAAATCCAAAATGGCTGTTGCTTGTAAACAATCAAAATTGTTGCACCCTTGGTCACTTTAAATATCCCAAATGGCTGCCTCTTGTAAACATTCAAAATGATTTTGCCTTCAGTCACTTTTAATATCCAAAATGGCTGCCACTTGTAAGCAGTCAAAATGCCAGAAGTCCATAGCTCAGGTTGTCTCCCTTCTTGCTATTTTCCTTCCTAGTCATAGACCACTAGCACAGTTGTCCTTGCAGCTCTTGGTGACCAGGGCTGATCTTTAGGTCAATTCTCAGGTCCTAGCACCACTTGGAAATACTCAGGCTGTTGGTCCTGTCAGAGTAGCTGACAGTCTGCTGCTCTGACCATCTCTGTACTCACTGTTTCCATTCAGGTTTTTTCACTAGTTAGTGCCTAATCCACATCTGTATAGTTCCTTTCAAAGCTCAGGGCTCCAGGATTATATTCTGTATCTCTGTCAGTGGTTTCCCTTTTCTTTGTTGAAGAGGGTCTGTGTGGCTTATCTGCCTATTCTGCCCTCTAACCCTAAGTCAGTCAATTATTTTTTAAAGATATTTAAATAATTAAAAAAGTCTTATATTTACTCACATAATAACTGTTGTAGGTGTTCTTCATTCTTTTATGTAGAGCCAGCTTTCCATCTGGTGCCATTTGTTTTTTTCTGCTTGAGGGACTTCTTTGAACATTTCCTGTAGTGCAGTTCAGCTGCTGATGAATTCTTTCAGTTTTTGTATGTTTGAACAATCTTTATTTTGCCTTCTTTTAAAAAATATGCTTTCACTCAGTACAGAATTGTAGTTTAACAATCTTTCTCTTGAAGAACTTTAAAAACATCGTCCCTACTGTCATCTGGCTTGCCTCTTTTCTGACAAGAAGTCTGCTGTCATTCTTGCTTCTTTCTCTGTACCTAATGTGTCTTTTTCTGGCTGCTTTGAAGATTATTTTCTTTATTGCTGATTTTAAGCAATTTGATTATGCTATGCCTTGGTGCTCTGGTAGCATAGTGGCTAAGGCACTTGACTGCTAACCAGAAGGCTGGTGGTTCAAACCCACCAGCCATTCCTCGGAAGGAAGCTTGGGCATTCCTACTTCCGTAGTGATACTGCCTTGGAAACCCAAGGAGGGGTCGCTATGAGTCAGGGCTGACTCGATGGCAAACAACAACAACAACATGCCTTGGTGCAACATACATAGTTCTTGTGCTTAGAGTTTATTGAGATTCTTGAATCTTTGGATTTATAGCTTTAATAAAATTTAGAAAATTTGTGCATTGTTTCTTCAAATACTTTTATTTTCCCTTGTCTTTACCCTTCTTCATGGACTTTGTTATACATATATCAAGCTGCTTGAGGTTGTTCCATAGCTAGCTGATGTTTTATTTTTCTAAAAAATTTTTTCCTCTGTATGGTTCTATTATTATGTCTTCAAATTCACAAGTCCTGTTTTTTTTTCTTTTCTTTTTCTTTTTTGTCATGGCTAATCTGCTTTTCATCCAACCTATGGATTTTTCATCCCACATTTTATAGTTTTTATCTATGGAAGTTAAATTTATCTTTTAAAATGCCTTCCATGTCTCTACTTAATGTTGAACTTTCCTCTAGATTCTTGAATGAATGGGATATAGTCATAATAAACATCTTAATGTCTTTATCTACTACTTATATAATTTATACCATTTCTGAGTCAAATTTGATAGGTTTTTCTCTTCATATGGATTATATTTTCCTGCTTACTTGCGTGCCTGGTAATTTTTGATCCAGTGCCATATGTCGTGAATTTTACCTTACTGAATACTGGATATTTTTTTTGTTAGCTGTTAGGTGCCGGTGAGTCATCGCTGACTCATAGCAACCCTATGTACAATGGAACGAAACTCTGCCTGGTCCTGTGCCAGCCTCACTCACCATCCTTATTATACCTGAGCCCATCGTTGCAGCCATTGTTTCAATTCATCTTGTTGAGGGCCTTCCCCTTTGTCGTTGACCCCTCACTTTACCAAGCATGATATCCTTCTCCAGGGAATGGTCCCTCCTGACACCAGGACCAAAGTAGATGAGACAAAGTCTGGCCATTCTTGCTTCCAAGGAACATTCCGGCTGCACTTTTTCCAGGACAGATTTGTTAGTGCTTTTAGCAATCCTTGGTACTTTAAGTATCCTTTGCCAACACCATAACTCAAAAGCATTGACTCTTCTTTCTCTTCCTTATTCATTGTCCATACCTCACTGCTGTCAAGTAGGTCCCAATAGTGACCCCTCCTTGGGTTTCTGAGGTGGTATCTCTACAGAAGTAGATCATCTAATCTTTCTTTCAAGGAGAAGCTGGTGGGTTTGAACCACCAGCCTTCTGGTTAGCAGTTAAATGCCTTAGATGCTCTGCCACCAGAGCTTCTCACATGCATATGAGGTGATTGAAAATACCATGGCTTGTGTCAGGCACACCTTAGTCTTCAGGGAGATATCTTTGCTCATCATCACTTGAAAGAGCTCTTTTGCAGCAGATTTGCCTAATGCAGTATGTCATCTGATGTCTTAACACTGAATTGGTGTTGATTGTAGAACCAAGTAATATGAAGTCTTTGACAACTTCAATCTTTTCTCCATTTATTGAGATGCTGCTTATTGGTCCAGTTGTGTGAATTTTTGGTTACTTTATATTGAGGTGTAATCCATACTGTAGACTGTAGTCTTCAGTCTTCACCAGTAAATGCTTCAAGTCATCCTCACTTTCAGCAAGCAAAGTTGTGTCATCTGCATATTGCAGGTTGTTAATGAGTCTTCTTCCAATCCTGATGCCACGTTCTTCTTTGTGTAGTTCAGCTTCTTGGATTACTTACTCAGCATACAGATTGAATAAATATGGTGAAAGGATACAACCCTTCCTGATTTTAAACCATGCAGTATTCCCTTGTTCTGTTCAAACAACAGTCTCCTGATCTATGTACAGGTTCCTCATGAGTACAATTCAGTGTTCTGGAATTCTCATTATTCTCAATGTTACCCATAATTTGTTATGATCCACACAATCGAATGCTTTTGCACAGTCAATAAAACACAAGTAAACATCTTTCTGGTATTCTTTGCTTTGAGCCAAGATCCATCTGACATTAGCAATGATATCCCTTGTTCCATTGTCCTCTACTGAATCCAGCTTGTATTTCTGGAAGCTCTGTCAATACACTGCTGCAACTGTTTTTGAATTATCCTCAGAAAAATTTTACTTGCGTGCTATATTAATGATATTGTTCGATAATTTCCACATTCTGTGGGATCACTTTGTTTGGAATGGGTACAAATGGATATTTTTGTACTCTTGTAAATATTCTTGAGCTTTATTTTGAGATAAAGTTTTTTTTTTTTAAGATAATTGATCTTTTTAGGACTTGCTTTTAAGCTTTGTAGGGAGGGATCAGAGCAGTGTTTAGATTAGGGTGATTGAGGCAAAACTCTTTTGAATACTCTACGCAGTGACTTCCAAGATAGGAGGTTTTCCACTATGGCTGGTGGAAACAGGCACTATTCCAGACCCTGTGTGAGCCCTGTTTCCATTAATCGTTTTGGATTGTTCTTTCTCTGTCTTCACATAGTTTTCCTTATATGCACGTGTTGTTTGGTACTCTGCTAAATGCTCTAGGAGGACCTTCTGCATATTTTTGGTGTTCTTTTTTCTGTGCATTCTCTCCTCTCAGGTATTCTTTTCTCTGAATTCTTGTTATTTTGACCTCCCCAGAGTTCCAGCTCTAGCTCTTCAACTCAGCAAGACTACTGTACTTTACCTAGTTCAACCTCCCTGTGCTGCTGCCTGAAAACTCTCCAGGCAAAAAGCTGGAGCAATTGTAGGCCTCATCTTTATCTCAGGGATTATTATCCTATATTGCTTGATATCCAGTGTCTTTAAAACCATTGCTTCATATATTATGTCCAGTTTTTTAGTTGTTTCAGGCAGAAGTATAAACCTGCCTCCAGTTACTCTATTATGAACCAAAAGAGAAATCCCTTAATTTATTATATAAACTCTTAAAAGCTGGAGAGTTTTTAGAATTAGTTTGTATAGAACCCAACCTAGTTTAATTTCCTAATAGATTATGTTGGTGTTTCTTAATAGCACATGGTTAAAGACTTTTTGTAGTACATTATTTTTAATGAAAATTTGAATGCTTTGAAGAGATTTTTAAGAATTAATGACATTGTTTTGTAAAAATCTTTTAAAAGTTCTAATGCATAAATATTTCTTCGTCATTTAATTAAATTTTATAGTTATATTTATTTATTTGGCAGGCCTTCATCCTCCAGGTCCACCTTTAGCAAGACCCATTCTCCCTCGAGAACGAGGTGCTCTGGATAGAATTGTTGAGTATTTAGTTGGTGATGGCCCACAGAACAGGTAATTTTTACTAGGATGATAGATGAATGAAAATTAAAACTGTGTTCATTGGTCAGGGTGTGTGTGTGAGTTTGTGTATGTGTTTGATAGTCTATAGTTTTGTGACTCCTATTTCCTATTTTTTGGCCTAAGACATTTGACTTCTAACCTGAAGGTTGGCGGTTCAAACCCACCAGCCACTCCTCAGAAGGAAGATTGGGCAATCTACTTCTGTAGAGATACTGCCTTGGAAACCCAAGGAGGGGTCACTA